GGGCACAGAATGCTTTTGAGATTTTGCACAAATAAAATAAAAACATTTCTCCCTCTCTGCATTCGCTCCTCTCCTGTGTTATTCGAGAAGAGTTGGGATTTAGGTTCCTGCCTCGGAACTGATTGACAAGAACAGTAACAAACCCAAGATCAGTTCTCTTGTAAAGACATAAAGGATTGTGAATTGCAATGTTAACATCAGGGCTCTGTGACTCCCTTTATGCATGCTCAGCAGTTCCTTCTTTCTTGCAATACAACACATTTTTCTCTTACCCAGCACAATTCGTAGAGCTCAAAAAGAAAATAAATACTGTCATCACTGAGAGCCTTCTGCTGTGGCCAAGCCACAGGGTTTAGTCTTTGAGGAAGAACTCATTAAGGAGGAAATGTGCTTCATGGTTTCCCTTAAACAGCTCCTCAAGTCCATTTTTCTAAAGGTGTGGATCTGTGGCAGGCTAAGCCACCCCAAGTCCAGGCTGCTGCCTCCCCACTCCCATCTGTGCCGATGGGGCTGGGTATGGTCCCTCAACCGGCTTCCCCACAAGCACCGACACCTTGGACCGCTCCAGCCACACTGCACAAGGATTGCAAAACTGTGGGAGATTCACAGGGATATTCCTCCAAGCAGAAATATAAACCTTGGTTTTTCATCAGGAAGGAAAGATGAAGGCAAGAGAAAGGCAATGTCCTGTTGAAGGAGATGCTCTGGTTGCAGGCAGGTGTGGAGCTGGGGAGTTGGGTTTAGGCAATACCCACCTCTGCCTCTCAGCGCAAGGAATGGAGAGGGTGTTCCCGTGCTATGCCTGCAGTTTGATTTGTCTTACTGACCAGTGCTGTTAAATTTTTAGATCAGCTTAATCTTTAACTCTAGTGCTCCTAGTTAAAACTATTATTTTCTGAATGGAAAAAAAAAAAAATCAGGGGAAGGGAAAGTGTGATTTCTTCTGAGTTTGGCAAGTGGAAAAATTATTCTAGATTAAAACTCCTTGCCTAAAAACGTTGGGTGATTTTAGTTTTCCTCTTATTCTGACTTTATCTCAACTGTTTGTAATCTGGAAGCTGCTTTAATTTTTGTTTGTCTAGATGAGCTGTAAAAAACTTGTCATCTCATCCTTTCCTTTAGAGACCACAGGATCTTTTCTCTCAGGTGGTTAGGGTTCTTAGGGTTGTAGTGTTGGTTTTGCTTTATAGCCATTAAAAACAACTCTTCTCGTTTATCTATACCATGTCTTCTGTGGAGATGTTAACATTTTTGTAGCCAACAGACACATTTGACCGGTATTCTTGAAATCAGGCTGAGCGTACCTTCGCTTAGGATCTAAGCACAGCTTTGAAATGAGCTAAGTCTGCAGCTTCTGAGAAGCACCTGGCTCTTCCCAGAAACTGTTGTGGTGATTTAATCTCAACTTTATCTTTAGTTTCTGGGATACTGCAGATATTTACTACTTTGAGCCCTGAATTAAGCTGGTCAGCTTCTGGGAGTAAATATTTGTACGTATGTACTTAGCCCCTTGTGTCTGGGGGGCACCATGCATGGGAGATGTCTTCCTTTATCAGGATTTAAAGTTGAGGTCCTGAGTGCCTGCAAAATAACCCAATATCTGGCTGGGCCTTCACAAGAGAAGCGAAATTGGTTCCAGTTTTTTTTGCCACTGTTTAGTCTGCCATTTAATCTGCCAAGGCATACACAAGTTTAAATTGATTAAAGTGTTCTCATTTCCTGTCCTGAACATGTTGTGTAATAGCCTTCTTTAGCTTTTTAAAATATTTGCTCTGTTTCACTCCAGCACCGGTGGGTGAAGTAACTACCACGTCAAATCCGTTGGTAGGATGCCTTGAAATCTGCCAGGTCCTGTGCACTGCTGGGGCATGATTAGACCCTGCCACGTACGGTTTCTAGATCATAGGCAATATTTATGAGTTGGCGGAGAAAGAGGGGTCTCCACTAGCTGTTACCAAGAGGTGGTGTAGTACTTTTCATATTTTAGTCATGAGACTTATTTTGGAACAAAAATATGCTAATAGATGTTGTTCGTTTCATTGCCTTTAGTAAACTTTTCCAGACCTTCAGTATCAACATGTGCTGTTTGTTTGTTTTTTTTTTTAAGTCCAGGGGGTTCGGTTTGTAAATACTCCGAAAGCAAGCGATGAAAAAACTTCAGAGGCTTAGAGATCTTTCCACGGTTTTTGGTCAGTTTGGTGTTGTCATCATCTAAACATAGGCAGGCTGGACTGGGAGAGATCTCTTGGGTCACAGCTCCCTTGTTTTCGCCTTTCACAGCCACTGTCGTATTTCCCTTTTTATAAGCGCATGCAGCTCCATCTTAGTGCTTGGGTTTTGTCCTCATTTGGGAAACTGTTCCCTAATGTTGCAATTCTGAAATGCTCTTCTGAGCTTCTTTAAATTTCCCCTCCTATTCCTGTCCTGTTCAGAAGGATGGAAAACTGTGCTCCGGGGGCTAAGCCTAAAGGCGAGAAGAAAATTGCACCCCGCAGGTTGGACAGAAAATGTTGCTGGTGTGCCCCGGAGGTATGTTATTCCTTCTTAAAGCTCTCCACTTTCAGAAACAAACTGCACAAACATGAGATCAGAAATTGTGTGCTTGAATTAGTTAATAAATAATGCTTCCTGGCATCTGCAGCAACAGAACGTAATCATCTTCATTATACAAAGTATGAGACTGTGTTTAGTACCAAACAGCATTTCGCGATGGCCTCTTGTAAATCAGAGCTATCTCGATGTTAGAAGAGAAACACGGATTCAAACTGCAGATTCGGATAATTTGCTCCACCTACTCAAAAGCCAGCTATTTTAGGAGTGAATTTTAGTGATTTACGATCCCATCTCATATTTCCAAAAGGCATTTCTTTACCAGTTTCCAGTTTTTTTCCCATCACTTTGTCTTGTTTAGGTAATACATAAATCTATCGGGAAAGAGCGTC